CGTCTCGGGTGTCAGCGCCGCAGGCCTAGCTATATGTGCGCCAGGCGCGTCGCAGCGTAACAGTGTTTCGTGAGATATCGCGAAGCCTGTTACGCGAGACGTGGTCTGGCGTACATATAGCTAGTACCCTTAGGGTGTCACACAATAACTTTTCCACCTCACAAGTGCGACGTTTGTGACGGTACCCACTCTTTCCCGGGGAGGTGGCCAATCTTGGAGTTATCGAAGCAGGCCTGCAAAGAAAAAGGCATGAGCTCGTTAGACTAGTTCAGAAGGAGGCGGGCGTCGTTCGTGGCGAAGCATAGTGTCCGCTACTTACCCCGGTTGAACTTGGGCGCTGCTTCGCCGGGAAGAGGCCTTCCTCTTGCGCCCCTTCCCCTGTCCTCCACGCGCTCCTCCAGCGGCTGCAACTTTCTCGGGGCTGCAAACACAGAAGAAAGGGACAAACGTGTTAGATTCGTGAAACAAGTTTGGGCGTGCACCACAATCTGGCGAAAGTCGCGAGACTTACATTAACTGTACGTCTGTACGACTTCTCCAGACGCGGAGCACGGCCGGTCGGGGAACCCGCCCGCAGCCTTTCCCACACAGCAGGTGGAGGCGGGGAGGACGCGGTGAGTCCGCAGCGACAAGCAGGGCGCCCCAAACGGGGGGCCAGGATCGCACGATCACGGCATAATGTACCGCGGGGGTGTTGCAAGTGCGGGAGCACGAGGCACGCCCTGCCAGAAAACAGAGCTCTTTAGTACAATTCGGTGCGTACGGTGACACATACACTATGTACGGTAGTACATATAGGAATATGTACTGATACGCTCGCGAGGTGGGGATGGGGAGGTTCGGAGAAGTAGTACTTACTATGCTGAGCGCGGTCTGCAGGACACGCAGGTTGTTGGACACCAGAGTCGCCACACGATGCTGGGCCGGCCCCACTCGCTGAGTTGGTACAGGTCTGGGTGTGGAACTGCAGGTCGGCGAGCCGGAGGTCCCCAAGCGGCAGGTGGCGGCCGACGAGGTGGTGTGGTCACCCAGTACGTGTTCTCGTCGTCCACGCCGATGGCCCGCAGTGCAGACTGGGAATGTCTCTCGGCCCTGGGTTCGCCGATTCCATTGCGGATGCACAGGTCGAGAACCGCCTCGCGGACCTGGGATGCTGGGGTGTTGTGGGAGTTCAGGACGGCTGGCGGCTGGCCTCCTCCAGCGACGGGCACGAAGCACATCTCGTATCCTGGGCGCCCCTGGTTGACGGCATGCGCCTTGACGGGGTACAGCCCTGATGCCACGTTGACGACCTCCCGAAAGAACTGCAGGAATCCCTGGCTTGTGGAATGTGGACGGTGGGTTCTGGGTACGGCAGGCACAGTGCTGGTCCATTGGTTTTGGATCGGCAACACCGGGTACCGCAGCCATCTTCAGAAGCTCCGGATGACTGTTAAGAGTCTGAAGGGTCTTCTTGTCTTCTCTCTTCTACGCTGGTCTACAAGGTCGTACTGCAGCCACTCACACCCAGAAAACCATTTAGTCCATAGAACCAAATCAGGGTTCCCTGAACTAAAAAATTTGTTTCATGCGGACAATGAAAATTTAGTTCTCTGGAACTCAATGAAAGTTTAGTCATTGGTATGGTGAAGATTTAGTTCGACCAACGAAATTTCTGTCCCGTAAACCAACGGTACATCGGCCGATTGGTACAAAAATTTGGTTGATGGCAGTCGGCATAGTACGCTAATAAACTTTGGTTCCTAGGTAACTAAAAAGTAATTGAATGCAACCATCTATCTTATTTACTTCCCACCACTATATTTTGTCGGATTGAAGGACTAAACCAGAGGACTAAACTTTGTTAGCCAACCCACCTTGATTTTTCAGTTCGATTTCTTTCTATAGACAAGTATTAATTTTTTTTAAAAATAGCTTACCCTACTACGCGCCAATTCTAGCTTTTCATTTCTTCCACGACGAATGAAGCAATTTGAGCAATTTACTAACACACATTAAATTTATGACAACCATAACCATATTCGCAAAGAACGTCAACGTTGAGCGGCTCGTCTGCTTGTTGACTAATGGGCAAGATATGAAAAATTGTTCGGCCCTCAATGCTATTGACAGTTGGGCTGCGTTCTGCTACAGAAGACTTTGTGGCTACAATTCACACCAAAGTATAAAAAGAAATCTGTTTTAGTACGTAAATCCATACCATCGATCCTGAGAGCGTTTGAATTTTGAACACACATCAACTCACTAGAACTCTATTTTAATAAT